CAGCATAAGGACAGCTGCCTACCTGAATATACTGACTGACAAGGTTTTTCCATCAATAGATTTCTTTCATGATGGCACGGGCATATTCAAGGGTGACAATGCCAGGATTCATCAGGTTCAGATTGTGAAAGAGTGGTTCAGGGGGCACGAGACATTTTCACACATGGAAAGGCCACCACGGAGTCCAGACCATAACCCCATTGAGAATCTTTGGGATGAGCTGGAAAAGACTTTACACAGTGGTCCGATTCTCCCATCATCACTACAAGATCTTGGTGAGAAATGAATACAACTCTGGATGGAAATAAAATGTTGTGACATTGCAAGAGCTGATGGAAACAATGCCATAATCAAAGCTAAAAGGTGGTCCAACGAAATATTAGAGTGTGTGACTTTTTTTATGGCCAGGCATTGTATATTGCAAACATTTTGTGGGCTGGTGGCCTAGGAAAGAGAAGTGCATTTACTTAAAAAGACAAAATGAAATACAAAACACGGATTAGTTGAATATATACACATAAAAAAAATAATCTGTCAGCACTATCAAGATACTGAACAGGCTGTGACAACAGAATGCAGGCTCACACTGTTACAAAATCCCTCCTATGCTCCAGATGCTCTCAGTTCTAGTCATGGCAACATGTCAGTTTTGACAATTAGTGGTGCTGAGAGCAAGGCCGCTCCATTCTTATATTTCAGCCCCTTCACTATTATGGGCATCCTTACTGGCCAAGAGGAGGATGCTGGAGGGGTCTTTTTAAAGTAAAGTACAATTAAAGGCTCATGTATGACTAAAGAAGTCCCAAATCCAGCTACTATGTAATGCACATGCCTCAAGAAGCAAACAAAAAAAAAACTTCCTTTACCTTCCCTGACTAAGCCAAATCCTCCTTCATTTGTGCCTAATATGTTCTCCCTCCCAGACACTGCAACTCATAGTGGGAGCGTTTCAGAGGCAGTGCTCTCAATCCAGAACAGAGTAGACAGGGCTAGGTGTGGCCAACTGCTGATTGACAAGCTATAAGACTGTAAACCAGCAATGACAATGCTGATAGTCACGCCCCCTGAATCATTTTTTTCATCCAACTTTAGTGCAAGCAGACACAACCTACATGAGTGACATATCTGCTCTGAATTTGCCCTTTCACTAAAAATCACACCAACATTTAGCTCTGCATGATGATATAAAATCGTTGTACATTGATTACATATTTTTATTTTAATTAAAATGACAGTTTTTTTCACTTCCTGATACTCGAAGGCATTAGTGATGTAGCCTGTGCCTAAGTGATGCATCATGGGAAGATTACATCAGCAGTGCATTGCTGGGAAATCTTATCTGTAAACTGCATAATCTTGGGAGATTTCATGGAAAGGCATTTTTCTCCCTGAGATGATGTGCATGGTCACATGTCCTAGTCACATGTGCCAGAGTTCCAGTGTAAGGATAGCGGCGTCTTGCGTTCCACCAGGGAGCGCAGCGCCTATGACGCCCTGACTACGTCGCGGCTTGCGCGGCCGTGATCAAGGAGCTTGGCTCCGCCCCATGAAGCTCTGACCCCATATATACCAGGAAGGAGCTTAGCAGCGGCGTTCCACTAATGGAGTCGACGCCCTGCTAAACTCCCCCACACGAGAACCAAACGGATACCACTCTGCCTGCACAGAACGGAGGAATCTCAGGACTACAGGAGACAACTAACCCTTTTCCCTCTCGAGGAACCGTCCTGTGCATAATACCGCAAGTACCATTGTCAGCACTGCCTGACCCCTAGAGACTGTACTGTTTAATTGGCTTCTTATCCTTATTGCTGCTTATCACCATAAGACACTGCTAATTAACTACTTGGATTAGTACTATTACTGTTGCCATATTGCCATAGGATACTGCTGATTAACTGCTTGGGTTATTACCATTACTGATGCCAGGATTACCATAGTATACTGCTGATTTACTCCTTGGATTAGAACTATCACTGCTGCCAATTAACTGCATGTTTTACTGCCATTACTACTGCCATAGCCATATGACCACTGCTGATTACTGCATGAATTATCATCATTGCCCTGGACACATTGCCATATCATTGTTACTGAAGATACATATAACTTAATCCTGGCCATTACTTAATGTTCTCTGCCCCATGATCTTAGTGAACTAATTAGTTAATTCCTTGTACTGAAATAATGGTGGGTGATGCTAGCAACTCCAAACTCTCCGTTTAAGATTGAGAGCGACGCCTGGAGTTCAGTCTGACGTGACCATTAACAGGATTAACCTACTCCCATACTAGCCCCACAGTTGATGTTACAAGCCTCTGCCGTTGAGATCCTGACAGAGCAGTTAGGGGCGTTACATCCAGGAAGTAAGGAGGAGGTAGATAAATCTGCCCTTAGTAAGAAATGGCCACTCTGAGAAGAATGGGGAAGAAAATAAAAATAAGGTATGCAAAGCATAAAAGGCCGGCAGTTATCTAGAAGTTTAATCCTCCTGTCCCATCGCACTCCTGACCGGACAAAAACCCAAATCCAACTGGGTGGGTGCAGTAGTGACAACGGATGCCTCCGTGAAATGTAGATAGATGAAAGTAGTCACTCGCACTCCATGATATTAAAGTCAATGCTGTTTATTGACTGAGATAAAACACATCTCCTTAGCGATGTTTCGAGACCATGTGGTCCCGTCCTCAGGCAAACTCTCTGTTTGCCTGAGGACGGGACCGCATGGTCTCGAAACGTCGCTAAGGAGATGTGTGTTATCTCCGTCAATAAACAGCATTGACTTTAATATCATGGAGTGCGAGTGACTACTTTCATCTAGTTATCTAGAAGTATCTGTTTGTAGATTGTCATTACTAAAACATTTCTAAAGGTGACTTGTTTTCATTTTAAAGAACACGGTAAATGCCCTCTTTAATATTTGTGGCACTTGGGGGACCAGGAGAAAGCTGTAAGTGTAGATGCACATATAATTAAGTGCTGCAGTACATATTTTTAATAAGAAGCCATAGTTGTACTTCAAAGTTATGTGCAGGCATAGGTAAGTGCCTTCCTTGTACTGCTCCAACCTGTTCAGTAACTTTATGGTAGGGAAAGATTTACTTTAAACAAGGTGAGTATTTTAATGCAGCTGTTTGCAATCTAGTTTCGACTTTTAACAGGTTAAAATGTAAAGAAATAACAGATCAAAATGTCAGCTTTACTAAAGTTTTAAAAAGAAACAGGATGATAATGCCATGCTATTAATCATGTGCAACCAAAAAAGGTTTATGTGCTGCTGGAGATTATTTTATTGTTGTAAAAAAAAAAAAAAGGAAGAATAAAAAGTAGGGTAAGCATACTGTATATGTAAATGTGCGTCAACGGCAGCTCTTCTGGAGATAAAAAACACCCCAAAATATTGTATAATATCTATAACAGCCACATCAACATAAGATAAAAGGTAGGGCAAATTGTAGCATACTTCATGAGTTCCACTTTATTTTATAGTCTGTTACCAGCTTGATGATGAAATGACATGAATGTGGTTTAGGCCAGTGTTTCTCAACTTTTTTCAGTCATAGCACCCTTTAAAAGTATGCAAAATCTCAGGGCACCCCTGTACAAAACGTAAATGTAAAAGATGACCTGTGCCCCCTCCAAAATCCATACCAGACCCTTATACTACATAAAGGTCTAATATGGATTTTAAGGAGGGACCCCACGCAAAAACAAAAAGAGGTTGGCGGCCTGCTTGCACCACGGAAAGGCATAACTGTGTGATCATTTCGAGGCACCCTGGTGGAGAAAGGCTAGTTTAGGAAGATAAACTTATAACAGTTACCTGAGTTCGGTGCATGTCCATGAATGGAACACGCCCAGTAGCTAATTCACAGGCAGTGATTCCAACACTGTAGATGTCTGACTTCACATTGTACCCATAAAGGTCCTATTTAATAAAATAAGATGTTATTCAGCAAACTGGTCTGTGAAGTAAACTATTACATGATTTTGCTATACAACAAATGTAAAATAGTCATAATGTGTGATGTGTAAAAATCCCTTGCAAGGAAATATAATTTAAACTTGCAATTTAAGTTCTAGGTTTTAAACAGCTTAATGTGTATGTCTTGTCAAATATGTTTTTGTAGTTTTGGATACAGTTTTGTATACAGGATGGAGAGTGGTTACAAGCACTCAACGATCAGCTGATCGCTGAGTGTTTGTAAATAGTTGAGGACATTGCATGTTTACTGTGTCCCAAATTATAAATGAACATGAAGTGCTCTACATCACTTCCTGTTCATTCATGATTGTGGACATAGTAACTCATACTATATCCACAGTTTATGAATCGACAGGAACACTCCGTATAGAGGATTCCTGTTCATTCATAACAGGGGCTGCAGAAAACGAGATTGAAGACTGTGTCCTCAATCTCTTTTTCTATTTCAAAAAGGGAAATATCAGGGGTCTGATAATGAAGGCTTATTCTATTACATATGGCACATGGTAGGTTAATTGAATATGACTAGTGCCAGGAAAAACTGACCTGTCTTAGTAGCTCAGGACTTAACCAAGGAAGCATTGCAGTGCTAAAACTAGGAAAATCATATGCCACCTTAGTTTTTTCACCACTCCGGACCATACTGTAGAGGTGACCAAGTCCAGAAAGAGAAACAAGACCATCATCTGAGATCAGGATATGACTGCCTTTCACACTCCTACAAACACAAATAAAACACAATTTATTGTTGACACATTTTAAACAGTCCTAATAAACTAAAGCAAAGGCAATTTTGTTCAGCTAGCTCTAATCCACTAATCCAATTTGGAAACACTTGTTTTAAAGATAAACTCCAAGCAGATACAATGTCCACCATTAAATGTATTTGTTTAAAAAATGATATATTTTTTTCTTTATTAGTATAAGTACCTGAACTTCTTAATATAAGCATTTAGTTATCCCCTGGACAGCAGGCCCCAGATGACTGGTATAGGGAGGGCTAGCATTGTAAACAGACGTGATGCATAGCATGCAGGTCAGTGAAAGACAGGAGGCTTGTGCTGAATGAACAGAGTAGAGTAATGACATCATCAAATGTGCAGCTGCTCCTTGCATATCAAATCATCAAACAAATAAACATTGCCCACCAAAGTATTTCTTTACATTTTTGCCCAAGTACTTATAGTTATCGAGGGGAATTTATCAAAATTGGAGCAGACAAAATCAGCTGCTCTCTTCAGTTTGTTCAGTTAATATGTGAAAATGAAATATAGAACCTGATTGTTGCCATGGACAACTGCTCCAGATTCTGTCTCCTCCAGTTTTGATAAATTCCCCTCATCATGTTTTCAAGGAGCTGGCTCCAACTCTCTGAGTTTCCCTGAACTGCCTGTCCAATACAAGATCACAAGGGACAAGGCAGTGTCCAGCAGCTGTCTATCTACTAGCTTGGAGAAGGGAGGAGAGGGGAGCAGGGAAGATGGGAGTAGTTTGCTTTGCTGTGGCTGTGTGTTTGTGGAGACTAACACACACTAGGATGGCTCCATTGGACCCTGCAAGGAAAAGAGCCACCCAACAACAGGATATCAGAGCTAGTGCTCAGGGGACCAGCTGATTCTGCAGAAAACTCAAATATTAAAAAGGAGCAGCATCCATCGTAAGTGATTTCAGCATGTGAGATAGCTTAAAAACCTTTTGACTTTAACCCCTTCGTGACGGGAGACGTACACTGTACGTCCAGCCACAAAGGGACCAAATGACTCGTCACGTACACTGTACATGACGAGTTATTTGCTGCACTAGAAGGCTGCTAACCGCTGAGAATCAGCGGTTACCATTCAGTAATGGATGTCTAACTATCTAGAGATCCATTACTGAAAGGGTTAACCTTTTTCAGACACCCGATACCTTAATATCGGGTGTCTGAGAGTCACAGCAGAGCGGACACACATGCCAGCTTTTGCCGGCATTCTGACAGCTCGTATAGATCGAGAGAGATATCTCTCTCAAGCTATACTGGCTTTTTTTTTTTTTAATCTTTTGACTTTCAAGAATAGATACAAAATGTTATGTAATAGACACATAATGTATCTATTCTTGAAAGTAGAATGTTTCAGTTTTCTGAAACATTCAGTGACAGCTGAATCCTGAACTGCTGCAGGATCAGTGTCACTAACTTATTATCGGCTGTCCTGAAGTTTGTAGCAGCCTGATAATAACCAAAAATGTATTAATTTATCAAGCAGTAACAGTGAGATTAATTCACAATGACTGCTTGATATAATTAAATAAATAAAATAACATTTGTAAGTTTAAAAAAAAGTGAAAAAAGTGTAAAAAAAAATAAAAAATAAAAGTGTAAAAAAATTAAGAGACAAATAAATGAATGTATGTATTGCATTTTTTTTCAGCTGTGCTGGTTTTGTTAAAAAAAATACTACAAATCAAAACTGGGAAAAAAGTGTTTTTTTTACGTTTTTTCCTCTTTTTTTTATATTTTATTTGTCCTAAGTGAGGCGTTAGACACACATATGTGATATAAATATATAGCCCTATCGGTCCTCTAAAAAAATATATATAATATGTGTGGGTGCACTTTGTAAAAAAGTATATATTACTGACGTGGAAGAATCACAGCAAAAATGTCAAAAGTGTGTCAGTCATTTACGAACAGAAACCAAAAACAAGCTCAGTCATGAAGGGGTTAATAACACTTTAATGAGGGGTTACAGACTTGGCTCTATTATGTGGCAAGGGGTGCCTAGATCACAAAAGTGATTTCCAGTGTGAGATATGTACTTCCACTGGCAAACCACAAAGGAATATTTTTTCATGTAATATGCAGAATACACAGTCTACAGTCTTGTGGGTGAAGGAGGTTTGGTATTCAGCTTATACAGGCCATAATGTAGGAGGAGAATGGGGCATAGTGTCCAATGACCACTGCCCACAGTCTAATGGGGGGGGGGGAGACCTTTTATGCAACTTAGACAGCCCACAGTCTTGTGGAAGCAGGAGGCATTGTATGCAGTCTTTGGGAAAATGAGCCCTTATATGTAACATTTCAGTGAGCACATTCTAGCAGATTGAAGAGGAGGAGTATGCAGCCATGCTTAATCCATGGTCTAATGGAAAGATATTGTATGTTGTCCTACAGACGAATTAACACACCTTTGCATTCTGCATTGCACTGCTTGTAGTCTAGTGCTCTAGCCAGCCATTGGGGGAGCCCTGTTGGGAAGGAATTTAGGTAGGGAAATATCCCTAAACAGTCCGAATCTAGGGCACCACAATACCTAAACTGCAGAACTGAACCAGTATGGTGTGCTCTGCAACACCCATCCTTTGGAAGAGAAGGAGGATTGCAGAGCTTCTGTTGCTGACTTTTCTTGTGAAGGTGCTCCAGGGCTGTCATTCTGATCCCGGCAGTGATCTGGAATAAGCATGCAGGGTGAGAGCTCACACTTTTCAGGCTTCACTGGTGGCATGCTTGTTCCAGACCCAACACTAATTAGGCAGGATAGTCGGGTACATGATGATCCACATTTCCAATCCAACAGTTTCACATTTTTGTGTGTTGAAATAAAAGAATGTCCGCTGACAGACCTTCAACAGCGTTTGGCATCAAACAACAAATACAAACATTGGCATATGTAGTTATTGCCAATTCAATAACCATTCCTTTATAGTAGGATACCGCTCAGCAATAGAAGTTATTTTAGTCACATATATGGGATGATTATTAGAAGATTAGGTTTAACGCTGCTAAATTTAATATAATATCTGAGATAATTGTCCACTGAACATTCACAAAGGTCCCGGAAACAAACGTGTTTATATATAGGTTGGACTTGATGGATTAATGTCTTTATTCAACCTCAAATACTATGTAACTATGTATATACAAATACCTGTGAATATATCCATTTTGGTGCAGATAATGCAATCCTTTTAATGTTCCATACAAAATGTTTCCTATTAAAGCTTCACTCATTCCTTCAGGATAATAAGTCTTCATGAGGCTGCTAGCAGACCCTATACAGGAAAGAGTTAAACAGTCAGTCCACTTTTGGTAGAGAACAGTGGCTTAATTCATCCTCGAGCCTTAAAGGAGAACTATGAGATGAGTGATTTCCACTCACCTCATAGTTCTAGCCGACCTGTGACAATGAGACTGTCACAAGTCGGCTCAGTAGATCGGGAGGTGAGCGAACACATACTAGGTTCGCTCACCTCACGATCCTGTCACAGCTCTCTGCCGTGACAGGGGAGGGGCTGGATTCCCCTCTCCGCGCTCCGATCTGCCAGCGCTGACTGGCGGAACGGACGGGGGAGGGGACGGGTACAGCTGGCTCTGCCTCTAGATAGGCAGAGCCAGCTGTCACTCACGCAGCTGGGCGGATCCCATCAGCTAAGTCGTGATCCGCTCCGGCGTCTCAGTATACCGCGAGCTGTAGCTCGCGGTATACTGAGCTTAGGGTAACGGGAGGACGCTAGTTTGTGTCCTCCCGTTACCCTAAGGAGAACTATGGGGAAAAACACTGACCCCATAGTTCTCCTTTAATACTTTCTCGTGGAGGCCAATTGGTCAGATAATTATAGCTGACTTATGTCCAACCCAGCCTAGCTATAAAGAAGGACCCTCCCAAGAACCATCATGCCCCACAATTTACCACATAACAAATCACAAATCATGTAGAAAATCAAATGCTTCTCAGAAATCAGTCTGTGCCTGGATTCCTCATCCAACTATACAGGCTTGGACCAAGGGTTTCCTTATTGAGCTTCATGTATCTTGAAGATAAAGATGCAGTAGAAGTGCAAATTGGTACAGTATGTCTCCCACTAAGATCTGGTGATCCTAAACATTAGGATTGGCAAGGACAAATAATATTTCTGGATGTCTAGCTTAAGTGAATGGTCACTGTAAACTGGCATTCAAACCACTTGGAGAACGAACCTACTATATACCCACAGTCTGCTGCTGTTCATCAGATTCAAATTCAGGACCTCGGGCAAGGGTGCTTATCAATACTGAAGAATTGTTTGCTTAGTCTGAAGTTCTTTAAGAGTGGATCTGTCATCTCTTGAACCTCTTAATTTATGTTACAGTATGTAAAATGCCGAATGAATAATGACACTCGATAGCAGAGGTGCAAACAGAAAAATATCCATTCCTTCCTCAAGCATTGTGTAAGTCAATCAAAAACGTTGCCAACCTACACCTTTCAGGGTATTTCTATATAGATCTGTATTGTTTTTTTCCAAGTTAAAAAATGTAAAGCACATATTATTGGACAACTAGTCATGGGTTGGTAGCTTACATCATAAAGCACATATTGCAATTTGTTAGGTTCATGCAAAAGTAAAGGCCGTAGCTTGCACATGCACCTTGGAACTGAAGCCCTACAGGTAACCATGCAGCTGGAGTGTGTATTACCATACCCAGGGGTGGGCATTAGTAACTATGCTTTTGCAGCACATCAAAATGAATGTATTCTGCATTTTAATGCGCACCCATTGACTTCTATGAGCCCCTCAATGCACATTAATGGATAAAAAAATGGAACCAAAATTATTTCCCATGATGCGCTGCAGCATATGCATGTGAACCAGACCCACTGAAAACAGTGGAATGACTAGTAACATGCCTTTTGATGTGTTCCAATGTGCATATTATGATGCATAGGTGTGAACAGGTTCTAACCGAGCTAGAACAGGTAAATCATTTTAGACTGTATGTTAAAATCGTTACACAGTACTCATATAAGTTATATAGAGTGAGAATCATACTGCAATGCAATAAAAAAAATGTATCCATCACTTACCATATGCCATGAAGGGATTAATAACCCAAAGCCAGGTCCCCACAGTAAACATTTTCCATGATAGCAAAATGTTAGGATGCCGGAAAAATGAAGACATAACCACTTCATTCTGAAGAAATATAAAAGTTACAGTATCCAAAACAAAAGTAGACCATGTCGTTATATGATTTAAGAAATGTATGGAACACTCCACCATAACTATTCAGTTAGCTTGACATGGAGGATGATAAGTGACCTGCTGTGTGTAATAATTGTTCCCATTAATTTTGTAAAATGAAGATCTGTTGTCTCTTCTGTTCTTGTCTTAGGACTTTAAGGGTATGCAGCAACTACACGTTACATTTTGGGGTTGATTTACCAAAGGCAAATTAGCAGTTTACTTTGCAAGGGAATTTGGGTATACTTTACAAAGTTAAATTTCTCCACATTCACTAAGCTGAGGGAAACTTCCCCTGCAAAGTGCAAATTCCCTTGCAAAGTGTACAGCCTATTTGCCTTTAGTAAATCAACTACTTTGTGTCCATCTTTGGCCTTTAACTGGAGCCCTTCCAACACAGCAGGAAGAGCAGAAATAAACATAAACAACAATCCTCCAAAAAGACAGTTGCTCTGCTGCAGATATATACCCCCAATGCTGGGTGCTGACTCCCACATGGCTCATCTCCACCTCTGTAAGCCACTATCTATTTTTAATGTTCCGCCTAGAGGAAGAAGCTCAGGTTGTCTGCCTTACACCAGGGTGAAGACCACATATGGATAGCAGCTTACAGGCTGTGAGTGCGGCTTTCTTATTTATTGCTTCTAAAATGAGAGGACATAGATAGGGGGATCTTATATTGGTAACAAGATCATCACACACAAGGTGCCCTAATCACCTTTCCTCCACAAAGAAATATATCGTTTTTAATGGAATTCAAACTTAACTTAGACATTTGATTGTCACAGGATAAGCTATTTCCTTTGTACAAGCAATCCTTAAAAGAGACTCAGTCACAACAATTGGGGTTCTGCGAGAAACTGCACATTTAGGGGCCCAATTGTACAGCAGCAATATGGACAAAGCAAGTGAAGCCCCAATTATTTTAATGAATGGCAAAACAAAGTGCTGGAGTGCCTTGTCACATCACCTGTAAAAGTCACAGAATCAGGCCCCCCCATAATGGAATATTCATTGCAACATTATGCTATGAACACTGCGACTGGACACTGCAAAATCCACTCCATGAATTGAATCTTCTGAATGACTTGGAAACTGCAGAGTAACCACTGCAATGTCCAGTGCATATTAGACAGTAGTACCTGCTTCTTGCTATACTTTACATCCAAAAAATATTGCGTACAGTATGTTATCAAATAAAAGTTTTATTTACCCAAACTATTTAGCTTTACTTAAAGTGCATTTCCCCTTTCACAGCCAAATTGGGATGACAACTATTTTATGGAACGCACAGCATTGCGGTGCCACACATTTCGGTGGGGGCGATTGAACTGTGGGTGGGAGGTGCGTTTGGGGAACCATTCAAATGAATGTCAACGCAACGCACCAGAACACGTAGTAGGTGAGATTGCATGGTACAGTGCATTAATCGCACAGGACTGTTCGATTAACGCACTGTACTAGTGTGACGAGCACTCAAAAACACTGACAGACACAATGTGACATCACTCCGGCCCAGGCACCTCTGCAGGACATGCGAGGGAGCTGTAAGCAATGCACATATTGGATCGAGCTCCCAAGCGGCCATAGCTCCAGCCCACATCACCTTAAGCAGATACTCTTGTGCCTCAGTGCAAAACAGCATATTCTGAATGGCTGCTTGGCACGAGAACTGACATTGCTGCGCTAGGGGGAGGCCAAGAAGCCTCTCACCTAGAAAAGTGGAAGGCATGCGACGACCCACTGAACACAGGGTCACGACCCACTTTTGGGTCACGACCCACCAGTTGAGAACCAAAGGTCTAACACATAGAGTCTTCCAGCTCCAAATAAAAATTGGGGCCCTACTCAATGGGTTTTGGACTTCCGCTAGAGTTTTAGATGTTTCTGAGATCATTCACAGTTCATTAGCAGATACATTTGACCTGCAGTTAAACTCTTTCTGACCTCCACTAAGCTGCATTAACTTCAAGCTGTTTTTAAATTCTTATTGCTTTGTGTGGGGAGATAAGCAGTTCAGATTCGAACAAAAGCCTGTTGATACAGGCCCTTAAATGTGAAGTGGTCTCTCCATTCTGACTCTCAGGGCCCAGAGTCACCCTAAGTAAGCTAAGCTAAAAAAGGAGGCAAAATCAAATCTTTTGTAGACAGCCTATAAGTATATAAACTTGGAAGTGAATATTAAGAGGGTTATTCACAAAGAGGTGAAGAGTGTGGAGAAGGCAGAAGTGAACAATCTAGAACAACATCGCTGAACTGGAAAGTGAGCTGAATTGGAGAATTTTTCCAAATCAGCTATTTTGGCCTAGATTTTTCACATCTCCTGCCTTCTCCAAACTCTTCACCCCTTTGTGAATAACCCTGTAAGATCCTTGCACAAACCCATTTGTGGCTAGTTTTCTGTAATGGCTTCACCCTGCTTACCTGTAAGTATTTGATGTGTTCATCGGAACAGTCATCTAAATCTGTAAGCTGCACTGTGACTGATGCTCCCGTAGGAATATGTTGAGCGAGGTAGATTGTAGTTAAATTGTTAAAACCTTTCCCTGTAAGATCCAAACAAATATGTTCTAAACGACAGTCAGAAAACAGACAACACACTAAATACAAATATCAAAGTTTCTTAGTAGATCATGTCCTCACAATTCAAATTTTAGCAAGCAAAACCTTCCAGAAGACAACTAGCAAATGCAAGTAAAGCACTGCTTACACCTATCAGCTATTAGGTGCAGGTAAAGTGGATGTGCAAGTTACTTTATTCTAGATTATGTTAATCATACCCCATATGATTAAGAAAGGGTTGTCTCAGGTGTAAATTGGTGAAACCAATCAACCAGTAAATAAAAGATGCAGTTCTTTTAAGAGTACCACACAACTGTCAATAAACAACTGTCATTTCAAGAAAAAAGTGAACTGAAAAAATAAAACGTCTTAGTTTTAACTAAAATTGAGACCTAAAGAGACACTGTCACTTTGCTCTTTCAGGACAAAGTATCCTAATGGCTCACCTCCCCAGCATGGACCCACACTCTCATGCCACCTCCCAGCTTCAGGAGTTCACCCTTTGTAAGCTCCCTTGTTGCATGGTGTTGCAGCTTACCCAGGTGGATGACATTACTGCCCCACCCAAGTCACTATGTTCAGGTTTTGGGAAATGGCAAGTTGGGCTCGAGACTGTAGCATGGAAAGGCTCACATGCTTTCCTGTACCTAGAAGCCCTGCTCTGTTCCAACATTACAGCAAGTTATATCACATTAGAATTGTAAACAAGAGTACCGAGTTCCTCTTGGAGCTCATAGCTGGAGGCTTCAAAGGAGCACACTGGTACATCATGCCCTTCCGGAACAGGAGGAATCCAGCACTGAGGCAGCTCGTCTCCCTGGAAGAAAGAGGAGAGTTTCAGAGACACCAAACAACTACTAGCTTTTTTATATGTACCATACACATTTAGTGCTAGGATTATCATTTACTTAAAAGGAGAACTATGGGTGGGGTTAAGGCTTTTCCCCATAGTTCTCCTTAGGGTAACGGGAGGACACAAACTAGCGTCCTCCTGTCACCCTAAGCTCAGTATACCGCGTGCTACAGCTCGTGGTATACTGAGACGCCACAGTATACCGCGAGCTGCTGCCTGCGGTATACTGAGACGCCGCAGCTGGCGCAGATCCCGACAATTGTGCCGGGATCCGCCCAGCTGCGTGACTGACAGGTGGCTCTGCCTATCTAGAGGCAGAGCCAGCTGTACCCGCCCCCTCCCCCGTCCGTTCTGCCAGTCAGCGCTGGAGGATCGGAGCGGGGAGGGGGGAATCCAGCCCCTCCCCTGTCACGGCAGAGAGCTGCGACAAGATCGAGAGTTGAGCGAACACCGGTATGTGTTCGCTCACTTCCTGATCTACTGAGCCGACCTGTGAGTCTCATTGTCACAGGTCGGCTAGAACTATGAGGTGAGTGAAAAATCACTCACCTCATAGTTCTCCTTTAACCGTGCTACTTGCTTCTGTTAATATCTTAATGTAACCAGTTAGGTTTATTTTATTTTTACACCAAAAAACTTACAATACAAGAACACATAAGATGTTTCATTACCCAGTGTGGATAAATGCTGCAAGTCGACTCTTTACTCGGACTTATAGATTTCACAGGTGTCCGTCTCAGGCAGGAACAGTCCTGTAATGACAACATTTGTTTGTGAACGGTTGTAGAAAATTGTTACATAGCACTTTCAATGTTTTGTATGTGGGTATATTTTTTTTTATCCATCTATCTAAAGCATAATTGTAAACTGCTCTGCTGTGCTTTTTAAATGTGGCAGTTTTCTTCTTTATGGCTGTGGTTAGAAATTCAGAGAGGTGTCTACAACACCTTGGGAGAGCAAGACATGGGGTGCAGGGACTCAACCTAACCTTGGGCCTTTCAATAAGCAGGCCAGGCACTAGGGATAAGGGTCCTAGAAACAATAATAGATATTAAAGTAAATCTTCCCGTTCACTGAAACGTGCCTCCTCCGGAGGGGAGATGTTTGGAATCACACATCTTGCTCTCTCCAGCATCAACCTACTGCACTACATGTAAAAAGGGCTTGGTGGGTATATACAATCTATAATCAATTTAATTAGGCTTACCAGACAAGACATCGAGACATTAAATTATTGAGTGGTGGATCTTTCATGAGTCCACCCAAGTTCCTAGATTTAAAGAAATACAGATTAATAATATAGTCATTCCATATGTAAACATACTATTTATCAATGCTTCTAATTTGCCAGAGCCACCATTTTTTAACTTGATTTAACAATTAAATAAAAGGCCTGATATTTGCAAGTTAAAGTATGATTACATGCAGACTGCCGATGACAGATGCAGCCACTGTCACCCAGTCATTTACTTGAATGGACACAGCAGCCACATCTGAACGGGACACTTGGGATTCCTGCCACAGGAATCCCAGAACACTCCATGTGAATGGGGGTAAAGCTGTAAAAGTATGTTTTCTTACTATGTGCGCTGTTCTATTCTTTTGAATGTCTTTTTATTAGTTTGTAATTACCCTAATCTTATTTATAATTATCTTGTTTGCTATTTCAAAAAGTCAGTATAGATGAAAAATAATGGTGAAAAATAAGTTTTAGGTTTATCCAATGGATTTGTGGCTTATAAATTAGTAATAGTCCACATAATTGGGCTGTGTCTATTGCCTAAATACATTGTGGTGGAAGATGTCCTTCTTTCTTGGGAGTAGGAAGATATGATGCTTGATTGATAGATGGGCACTTTCTCATTGCTCCTAAGGCTGGGTTCACACCTAGGCGTATTGAATATGCGCGTTTGTTGCGTGGTTCGCGTTGCGCATTTTTACCGCGATTTGCAGTAAAAAAAAAACACGCGACAAACGCGCGTTTCCGTGGGCTACTTGGCTGTATCCCAATGGAAACACGAGACCAAAACGCCCCAAAGAAGTACATGTACTTCTTTGGGCGTAGGCCGTTTTGTATCGCGTTTGGACGGGCGGAAATACGGCAAGGTGTGAACCAGACCCATTGAATACAATGGGATTTAGATGTTTGAGCGTTTTGTAGAGCGTTCGTCATGCTTTGAAAGCGCTACAAAACGTTCAGGTGTGAACCAGGCCTTAGACTTGTTTACACAGTCAAGTCACGTGACTGCGTGTACACCCTGCGGAGTTCACATCCAGAAGTGTGCAGTCCCAATGGTCTTGTGGCTTGATAAACAGGAGGGCAAATTGGACGTGCTCCGCTGTCAGTCGCAATCATTGAGCCTTCCTGCATGATGTGCAGGAGTATCACTGGGAGTGGCTGAAAAGAGTGTAACCGTTTTTGAAATAATAATTGTACATAAAATCAAGCATTGTTTTAATGTGTTTTAACATAATTTTATTTAAATTGAGTCCTTTTTTGTTTTTTGTATAGCAATCGGCTCTGTGCGGACCAGGGCAAAGGGCACATGACATGGGTCATGGACATGGGTCTACTGAATAAGGCTCTGTTCACACATTAGCAGATTAAGCACAGAAACGTGCAAACACAAAAACCTAATGCATTCCAAAGTATGTGGTTCACACCTGAGCAACGTCCACGCGGTATGCAAACGTGTGTAGTAGCCGCAAACGTGCTGAATCTGCGTGTATGATAAAATGTGTGCGTCTTCATGCCAGAAAACGCTATGTGTAAATGGACCCTAACTGCTGCTACTGGTAATGGAATATACACACTATGCATACATTAGGCTGTGTGTCTATGGGTTTAGATAAACTTATTTTTAATTCAGAAGTAATTTTCAATAATTTAAAGTCTGCATTTCATTAATGCTGCCACCTTGTTCATCAGGGCAAAAGGTAGAGCGTCTTTGCAAAGGGCCTCCACTGACACTCACCTTGCCACCACCTCCCTGGCGATCCTTCCTCCGCTGCAGCCGGCAACAATACCAAGGGCCCCCACACACAGGGGGAACATGTGACCTCCTAACATGCGACAGTGATGAGGAAGGTGCTCCATGGCTTTTGACACCAGCCAACACTGGAGATTTCAGTGCTGGCTGCAATGCAGGGAAGAGCGAAGGAGGTTGGATAGAGCGCAAGGTAGCTATCAATAGGTTTGGGGGGGCTGTTTGCAAAGACAATGTCATTTTGCCCTGAATGGGAAAGGTGACATTGTCTCTTAAAAAAAAACAAAAAACAAAAAAACAACTCTTTAGTGTGGATGGGGTAATCGAGTGAAAAGATAAATCTTAAAAAGGTGTATAGCCAGCTTAAGCTAAGTGAAAATTCACTTAGTCTAGTACAACTTCACATTGAACTAATCATCTGCAAGCAAAAATCCTGTTTTACATTTTCTCTGCACACGAATGAGTCATCTTTCCAACGAGAAATTCCACCATTTTACCTCATTCAAAATAAGTAAAGATTCTCATTTGAAAGTGCTACTCCATCACTACATCAGCCTTAGTGCTTTAGCTTACTAAATGGCATTTAGCTAGTGTTTCCATCTATACTAACACTGCACACTTTGTGTGTCTTTAAAAAATGCTTCTGCACATATCTCTTGGGTCACCCCAGATTAAAAAAGGAGAACTATGGGGTTAAGGCTTTTCCCCATAGTTCTCTTTAGGGTAACGGGAGGACACAAACTAGTGTCCTCCCGTCACCCTAGGCTCAGTATACCGCGAGCTGTAGCTCGCGGTATACTGAGACGCTGAAGCGGATCCCGACAATTGTGCCGGGATCTGCCCAGCTGCGTGACTGACAGCTGGCTCTGCCTATCTAGAGGCAGAGCCAGCTGTACCCTCCCCCGTCCGTTCTGCCAGTCAGAATCCAGCCCCTCCCCTGTCACGGCCGAGAGCCGTGACAGGATCGAGAGGTGAGCGAACGCCGGTATGTGTTCGCTCACCTCCCGATCTACTGAGCCGACCTGCGACAGTCTCATTGTCACAGGTCGGCTAGAATTATGAGGTGAGTGAAAAGCACTCACCTCATAGTTCTCCTTTAAGGTTACCATATTTTCAAAATGAAATCCGGGGACACCTTACTGACCCATTTGCAGCCACACCCACAAAATCACACCCTGATTTTTAGCATGCCCCAAAACAATTGGTCACAGACTTTTTCAAAATGGAGCAGATATTTAAAATAGAGATAAAATGCCCTTGGCGCCTGTCCTGGGCAACAAATCAATGTGGCGCGCTATGCAAGTCGCAGAAGGTTGTTGGTGTGGCCTATTTGCATTAACAGTGGCTGAAAGGGTATGATTAAATAAAACCTGAGCCTACTCTGGCAATGGGTCAGGAGTGCATAATGCATGCAGTGCAGAAGTCAGGACTGCATAATGTATGGGGTGCAGATCTCTACATCAGCACCTCCACCCTTACATCAGCGCCCCCCCACCCCCGTTACATTAGTGTGTCCCCCCTTACACTAGAGATTACAGAGTATCTCCTCTCCTGGGGACTCTGATGTAAAGGGGGACACTGGGCACTCAGTACCCAGAGTTCCCCCTTACATCAGAATTCCAGGAACTCTGATGTAATGAAGGACTCTGATGTAAAGGAGGGACTTTAGGGATTCAGAGTCCCCCTTACATCAGTGTCAAGAGAAATCTCAGACAGACAGAAGCTGGATAGCAGAGGGGTGTAGGAAGCAGAGCACAGACTGGAGGAGGCAGAGCAATGGAAGTTCCATCCTCCTCTTTCTCCCTGAATGCTGGCTAGGCAGAGCAGGTCATTGGTTGGATGCCAGGGCACCGAGCAGTACTAGAAGCCAACCACCAGCGGCATTATTGAACCAGCTGTGCTCATTGAACTCCCCCCACCTGCTGGTGGTTGGTTGCTAGGATGGCAGATGGTCTTAGCAACCAACCACCAGTGGCGGGAGATTGAATGATGACAGCGGCAGTCTGCTGTCACTGATGTCTCTGTGAGTTGGTGAACTTTCGCTGACCCATGGAGCAGCGCCCCCTTCAAGTGGCAACCAGGGTATGTGCTATACCCCGGATATGCCACTGCCGGCAGGGACATTTCGGGGGAACTCCTGCTGGTGCTGCTTGCTGTGGTGTGCTGAGTGACAGCACCTGGAAAGGCACCCCCATTGTTGGAGGGGAGGGTGACATAATGACTAGACTAATTGGTAACTTGGAGGAACACCTATTCTCAGGAGCAGTTAGGAGGGAACCAGAGAAAGGGGAGCAGCCAGTAAGCTGGGGGTCAATAAGGGCATAATGTGGGACACATGAATGGCATAATGCAGTATAACATTCCTGGTTGTGTGACATTACTGAATTCACAAGCTGACCTGTGCCTTCTCTCTCTCTCATCATGCCAGTATTACTGGGTATAAAATCATGCTGCCCCCAACATTTCAAACCCCACTGTCACTGCGCAATGACAACACGACAGTACACACTATAGTCACAGTGTCAATGTATATATGTAAACAAAACATTTTACCTGGCATGGGTAATATACCAGCCACTACTTACAGTAGTATGGCCAACACAGTGCCTGTCCTATTTTCAAGTCTCTCAGTTCAGCACAGATAACGGGGGGGAGAAAAAAAAACAAGCAGGTTCATCACCCTTTTCAGCTTCACGATCAGTCGGCTTCACGGTGTAGACCTCTGCACTGTCTGCAGGAGCCAAGCCTCGATCTGAATTGCAGGAGTCAAGCCTCGATCTGAAGTGCAGGAGCCAAGCCTCGATTTGGATAATACCAAGCCCCTCGATCTAAAGTGCAGGAGCCAAGCCTTGATCTGGCTAAAACCAAGCCTTGATCTGGCTAAAACCAAGCCTTGATCTGGCTAAAACCAAGCCTCGATCTGGATTAAACCAAGTTTTCATTTGAATTATACCAAGCCTCAATTTGGGTAGCAACCAACGTTTGATCTGGGTAGCAGCAACCAAGTCTCGATCTGGGTAGCAGCAACCAAGTCTCGATCTGGGTAGCAGCAACCAAGTCTCGATCTGGGTAGCAGCAACCGAGTCTCGATCTGGGTAGCAGCAACCAAGTCTCAATTTGGATAGCAGCACCGATGGCATTGTTCACTGTGATATCACATATGTGTGCGTTATTTGCTGTTTGTACCTGTAGTAAGAGCCATAAACAATGGTGCGCATTTTGTTTTATTTTTATATCTCGACTCCACTGTACATTCATTTCATATTCCAAACAATAAATGAATTCCAAACAATAAATGAATTGTAATTGACTGTTAAAATAAGAAGTGTTTCCTCTAGTGTAGCAAATTTAAAAAGAACATTTAAAACCATACTTATAAGCATCAATCAGAGATATGCATATCAGATTTTTATCTCACAGATGTCCCCTTTGCTGCTTGCCGGCACTTGCATAAAACAATGGATAGAAGCGATCTAATAACCACTCTATCTGCTCTAGTCCCTCTACTTTGCATCCTATCTAAGGCACCTCTAAATGTAGACTCTACTACTGTAGGGTTGAGTTTTTTTTCATCATACAATTTCTTCTTCATATCGTGTGATTTTTTTTTTTTTATCATGGAGATTTCTGTATTGCAACAATTGATCCTATACATCAAAAATTGGCTCTTAGGGATGCTGCTAATCCAGGGTCAGTATGGAAATTATTTGTTGGCACAAAACCTTTCTATCGGTTTGCTTTTGAAGGACTGTGGTCTCAATCTTCCCATCATCAATATATCCCTCAAAATCCAGGAAGCAAATCTTTTACCGACAAAATACTGAGGTGAACTCTAATTTCAAATCTTTACTATTGAGTAGCTCTAAAAACGTCTCAAACTCTCCACAAAGCCTGCTCAGAAAAACAAAATATCATCTATTTATTGTCCCTGCCATGGCAGCTGCCCTTTCAAACATGGTTTAATTAATTTTCTCTTCCGCTGACCCATTCTTCATATATAGTCATTAGGGGGTGAGCAGGTTATGCATTCACAGGCCAAAACAGTGTTTGGGCCACGCCTTTGAGAGACAGGGCACCTTTGCCTTTCTTTTCTGCACATACTATACAGCAGAACATGAGTAAGAGTTGGTGGAGTGGATCACCTGCCATTGCCTCACAAACTGGCATGAAGGAGTCACCAGTATTATTTCAGCGCAGCATCAGTAACTTGCTGCAGGAGGATGTACAGGAATGAATTTAATCTGATGTTGAGGAAAAGAACACAAGGAGCATAGAGGGATGGGGCAACAGGCAGTAAGATGCAACTGGCAGTAATGTTCTTACAGCTGCAGCTCACCTCTAAGTTGGCTTGAGCAATGAGAAGAGTGGGAGAAATAATGAGGTCTCAGACTGTACCTGGGTGCCAAAGGTTGCAGAAAAGGAAAGTGAGGGAGAGGCATAACATCAACGAGGCAGGACGGCATGCAGGGGCAGGGGCAGCTTGCAGAGGAGTGGAGGGAACAGCCCTATTCCACTAGATGGCACTGCTCGACAGGAGCAGGCTACTGGTGTGCTCAGGTCCACTCCGCGGAGCTCAGCATAGTGATTTGCATCCTCTGCCTGCAAAGTGTCAAGCATAGTAAATCTACTAGTTATTTTGGTACCATATGCATAAGGAGAAGCATGGCTGTTGGACTGTTTACCACACAGTTCAGTGGGAGCAGCACATGAATAATACCAGTTGTCAGCAAAAGGCCTGCACTCCTCCTTCTTGCTTCTCTCTTTCCACCTTTCACCCCACTACACAAGAATCTTCATCTGCTGCTGATAGTGTTGGAAATCTTACAAAGGGTTTAAAAAGCTACCTTATGGGACTTCAAGAGATAAAGAGGGTCAGCACAGGGCATGCAGAGTAGTGTCAAGCATAGCTTCAGTCTTGCTCTAGGTCTCCAAACCCCATCCTACCATCTCCAGCTGCATTCTTGACCAGGCAGGTGTCTCTTCCCCAGCTGCTTGAACATAAAACAATATGCACTCAATCACCTCCATGACAAGCGTCTCAAAGCTAGCTTGGCAAAATTGCTGGCTTTACAACTGCTTCCATTCCAGAGTTAAAACTAAAGCGGTAACATCGGAAGATTCCCTGCTTGGATTTAGAGATCTATATTGATGGTGTGAAGATTGAGACACTGATCAAAATGTTTTTGTGGCAACAAGAAGTGGCCACCATTGACCCTGGATTAGCAGTATTCCTCATGATAGGTATTTCCTACCCCCGTGCACCTTCCCCCAACTTTTCCCTTGAGATTGATAACACAACTATCCAGCCCTCCCCCCATGCCAAGGTCCGAGGTGTCATCCTTGACTCGGACCTCACCTTTCTTCCCCACGTCCAATCACTATCCAAATCCTGCCGCTTCCACCTCCGTAACATCTCCAAAATACGCCCCTTCCTCACCAATGAAACCGCAAAATTACTCATCCACTCCCTTGTTATATCTCGTCTCAACTATTGCAACTCCCTCCTCATTGGCCTACTTCTACACAGGCCCCTCCCCCTTCAGTCTATCATGATTGCAGCTGCTAGACATATTCACCTAACCAACCGCTCAGTGTCTGCATCCCCCCTCTGCCAATCCCTGCACTGGCCCAAAGGAAAAAATTCAAAATATTAACAATGACTTACAAAGCCATCCACAACTCTGGCCCCGGCTATATCTCAAACCTTGTCTCAAAGTATCACCCTAACTGTCCCCTCCGCTCTTCAAAAGACCTCCTGCTTTCCAGCTCCCTCCTCAACTCCTCCCATGCTCGCCTCCAGGACTTCACTAGAGTCTCTCCCATCCTATGGAACTCTCTACCCCAACCTGTCCGTCTATCTCCCACTCTGACTGCCTTTAGTCAATCCCTTAAGACTCATCTCTTCAGGGAAGCCTATCCCTCCTCAACCTGACCACTGAACAATCACTTTCTCAGACAATTCATCCTCACACAGCTACCGCCTCATGTATCACTTCCCCCTCCCTTTTAGATTGTAAGCCCTCAGGGGCAGGGCCCTCCTTACCATCCTGTCTTGAATTGTATTGTGATTGTAATGTCTTCCTTATATTGAAAAACTGTTGGCGCTATATAAATCCTGTATAATAATAATAATTTCTGAGACAATTTTTGAGGTATAGGTGTAATTGTCCCGCTACAGAAACCTTTATTGTAAAACACAGGATCTGAAAAATACATTTTATGATAAAAACTACAATCCTACAATAGTAGAATCTAATTTTAGAGGGGCCTTTAAAAAGGGTTGTAAAGATCTCCTTTCAATTAGGAGGGACTAGAGCAAAGAGACAGTGATGATCAGAGCTGCTTCTATCTACTGTTTCGTGAATGTGCCAGCAACCAGCGAGGGGACATCAGTGAGGCAACACTCTGATTTGCCTATCTCTAATTTATGCATGTCAGTGCAGTTTTAAAGGATAAGTGTACTTATTCTTTTTGCCCCTTTGCCCTGACCAAACCTTACCCACCCTGCCCCACCACAGATACCTACTTGCTTTGATCCAATGGCTGTCTGTTGTCAACAACCTCTGTTGTTTGTTTGCGTTCTGTGTCACAAGTCTCACTCTCCTTGCTGCGCCTGTGCATTACAGCCCAATAGACTTCTATGGGGCTGTGCCTCGATGCTGGGGACAAAGGCAGATGGCCCAACAGAAGTCTATGGAGCCGTAATGTGCAGGTGTGGCCAGGAAAGTGAGACTTGTGGCACTGGATGCTAACACCGTTGTTATGCTGAACAACCCCTGTGTGGGCAGAATGCTATATTACTTTGATGTTTGGATGAATAAAAGTGGATAAAAAGCCCTACAATTCATGGAGTGAGTCCTTACAAAAACTCTCCATTTGACGCTAGATCTCACAGTATCTGGGTTAGATTGGGTCAGTTCAAAGAAGCAAAAAGCAGATATATGTGTTATATGGTCGTGTAGCACTATTGGTAACCAGGCACATTTCTTCTCAGGGTGTAGATAATTTCCTGCGGTGTTGAATTAATGGGCGCCAGTCACTTTGAGTAGATTTTATCATATTTAATGTGCACGTGCATGAAGGTAAATGGGGGGATAAAGGGAGCACAGGATACCTGAAGAATTACATTAAATATAGTCCTTTGGTCTTCTGCACGGTCTTCTAGCTTTATAAGTCCATCTATCAGAGTACTCTACCGGCTGGAATACATCTCAGTGTAATGGTTCCTTATATATGTAAATCTGCTCAGTCTTTAACTCAAGGTAGGATAGCAGGTAACCCAACCTGAAATAAGTCATTTCAGGGAGGTGCCCTTCTCATGTCAGGGAGGTGCCCTCTGTCCCCCACCCCCATGGGGGGGGGGGGGGGGGAACAAAA